GGGTAAATTCCTAGCAGTGCTATTGCTGGGTCGTAAGGGAGTTCTATTGTTAGTTTCCTGAGGAACCTCCACACTGTTTTCCAGAGGGGCTGTACCAGTTTCCATTCCCACCAACAGTGTAGGAGGGTGCCCGTTTCTCCACATCCTCGCCAGCATCTAGAGTTCTCTGATTTGCTCATTTTAGCCACTCTGACTGGCGTGAGGTGGTATCTCAGTGTGGTTTTGATTTGTATTTCCCTGATTAGGAGGGAATAGGCAACCAACGGAATGGGAAAAGATAGTTGCAAATGACATATCAGATAAAGGGTTAATATCCAGAATCTATAAGGAGCTCACCAAACTACACGCCCGAAAAACAAACAACCCAGTGAAGAAATGGGCAGAAGACATGAACAGACACTTCTCCAAAGAGGACATCCAGATGGCCAACAGGGAATACCATTATCTTTAAGCTTTAGTTTGATGACATAAATCTTTGAGGGCTAGTTTGGTTTTGAGTTTCAAATAATAATTTAAATATAGCCATCAAAACATGGATGTGTCTGTAATTCTTGGGACAGCAGAGGTAGATTTCTACATAGCTTTTGTGTGATGAAGGAAAATCTAGTCCTGTCTGTTGTATGGAGCAGCTCTGTTGGCAAGCCTCCACCTGGAGCTAGAACATTCCAGATTCCCTAATCTGTACCCCTAGGGAGAGGGCTTTGCCAAACAGTGGAGCCATGTGACCCCAGAGTCCACTTTATACATGTCTCTTAGCTTTATACTTACTCTCTAACTACCCAGAGTTTGACCTCAGGATATGAACTTCCAACATTTTCTCATAGGAGCTCTCTTAGGAACTACTGAAATGCAGGCAGTACTGATAATCTCCTCCCTCTCTTAGGTATTTCAATGAGATGTCTGCACAAGGATTAAGACCTCGCACTGTGTCCAGCCCCATCCCTTACACACCTTCTCCAAGTTCCAGCAGGCCTATATCACCCGGTGAGTACCCGTCCTCAGCTACTTCTGTGACTGATTTCTGGGACATTTAATAGACATCCCCAAATACATTCCCTTCTAGCATATAAAAATCTTGTAAACAGAGGGAGAATGTTCCTTTGTTTTTCAGAAACATCAAAAATAAATCACTGTCAAGACTGAGTTTTAATCTGAAATTTTTAAGCGTAAATGTTATCATGCCAGCTGGTGTTTTTAGATTTTTTGTTGTTTAACTAAAAGGAATTTAACTGCAAAAATTCTTTTTAAAAAGATGGTCTTGGACTGATTTTAAGTGCCTGTGGATTGACCAAGCACTGGATAGATGTCTAAGATGGGTCATAGCATATCTCCTGTGGGTTCTATTATTATATTCTACATACATTATCTCATTTTTATCCTCAGCATAGTTCGTGTAGGCATCATTTTTCCCATGTTAAAATTGAGGAAGCAGTGATTCAGAAGTTCAATGGCTATTGGTCATAGGTCCAAGGAAATGGCAAGGCAGGGTGGCTCTTATTTCCAAAGGCTGTATTCTTTTGAGCACAAGCTGCCTCCTGATATTCCCACTAATGGATAAGTGGGACCAGGCCCTAGTAGGCAGGCCGTGCAAGAAGGAACTGGCCTTGCTTTTGGCTTCTGCATCTGGCTTAGCTCCTCAGAAGCCTTTCCCTCAAAGGCATGCTTGTCTTCATCTGACCCCGAAAACTCCCTCCCTCCAGGGTCTCTGGCTCAGAAGCAGCACAGTGTGGGGCTCTCAGGCCAGGAGGGCAAGTAAATGATCCAGCAAGGAAGAAAGAGGAAACCAGGAGCAGGGGGTGGGTTAGTGGAGCGGAGGGAGGAAAAAAAAGGTAGCAAGCCAAAGGATCGTGTCTTGTGACCGAGGGGACGAGTCTGAGTTTGTTGTGCTTGCTGGTAAACAGATTTTAAACAGAGTTTGGGAAAAAGAGTGTGTGGGGGAGGAGTTTCACAGCAGAATAAAGGAGGTCCCTGCTTGGAAGAGTGGCACAAGAAAGGCTTTCTGATTTTGGAAAGTAAAAGGGTGCAACCTCACCTTGTCTGTTGCAGTAATTGACAAGGAGGAATGCCCTTCAGGTGGATGAGGGGAGATGCTACAGCATTGCAAGTTGGGACAGACATGCTGTGAGGTTAGGTTCCCAGCCCTGTGCTATAGTGCTGTGACTTTTTTTTTTTTTTTTTTTAAGAGGAGAAATCAAAAGAACAACCAGCACAAAGCATGGGAACTTTCGTCTAGTTCGGGCAGGGTAAAGAGGAGCTGTTTGCAAACCAAAAGGACTTCATATCATGGATCAATGCATGATCATCTCCCCCTTGTTCTTGCCCAAAAGAATGTTCTGCAGTCTGTTTCTCCTGTTCTCTGGTGGCCTTTAAATCTCTCTAAAAGCTCCTCTTCCTTGCTGCCTCTCCGTTTTCTCCAAATAACACTTGGGTTTCATTACCATGAAAAAGACCTTTGCCTTCTGATTTATTGATGTAAAAGGAAGGCATGCATTAGGAAGAAGCAAGATGGGGGTAGCTTTTATAGTTGATGTTGATTCATATGAAGTATAATTTAGCCTTCTGTTTGATTTATTTAAACCTGAAGAAATCCTTCCAGACATGTATTTTCCAATTCATTAAATCTAATGTTGAGGTCATTGGGAAAAAAAAAAAAGCAAAAGTCAGACCTTGGTTGGGATTATTAACTTAAATTGTAACAGATATTCTATAGAAAGATCTTACTCTGTGTAATTTTGATTGTCACTGCACCTGTCCCTGTAGTGTGGGATGTGCCTGTATAGACAAGCCATTTGCTTTTCCCTTAAACTAAGTAATAAGTAACACCTAGGTTTTTTTCTTTCAGCCAGCCGAAGTGAGAAGAACATTTGTGTCTTATTTTAAGCTCTATAATATTATCAAAGTCGATTTTATCTAGTACTTGGCTGCAGAATTACTGCTAATCTAGTCCCTTGCTGTCCCAAACCTAGTTCATCAGCAAAACCTGAATTTTCAGGTTTGCTTTTCAATTTAGTTGTTATTGGAAGAAGTTGTGGTTCTTAGAATTAAGAATCTCTAATCACTTTCTTAGTAGAATTGTTTATAAAAGTAGTTTTCATTTCCATGTTAACCATTTTGGCTCATTTCTTCCCTTACCATTTCTGATTAACGTTGGCGATCTTGCATTTCATCAAGTTGAAATCTTTTAACTTCTCTTTCAGTTTGACTGAAAAGTGTATTTCCTAGGATTTTCAAAAGATTCTCTTAATAATATGTGGTGTTACGTATGTGGATTACATACAGGGAGAGTATTATTTGTCAACATTTATCTTTCAGGTTGTCTATTTGATGCAGCCTCACAAAAGACACCCCCAATTAGCATATTTTGATGTGTCTAAATCAGAAATGGGGACTAAGAAAGTTTGAAAAAGGGTCTATACCCCACTAGCAACAAGCATACTCACTGCCCAGATCTTGGTTTTTAATTCCATTCTCCAGTGAAAAGAACTGGAAGTTTCTAGGGCTTGGAGAAGGGGATATACAGGATGAACCTGGAAAATCTGGTAATGCTGCCAAGTAAGGGGGTGCTCAAAAAGCAAGATGAAAGTGTGTGAAAGAGACCCAGGAGCCAACCAGAAGAGCTCCCAGAGGCCAAAGCTAGAACAATCTGAGCAACAAAGGAAATAATGTCATGTTAGGTTATAACCCAAACATAAAACAAATATCCATGAGTTCATACTAATATAAATAAATGAATAATTAAACAAGGGAAAAGAGACAAATCTCTCATACAGAAGAATTCCAACTAATTTGTGGATACTCTGTTGTCAAGGCAGTGGAAATAACTCTTAACTGTTTTAAGCATGGGCTGCACATAAGGTCTTCCTTCCAAAGAATAAGTATGGAAAAGGGGGGGAAAAAAGAGTAACGTCATCACGGAGGAACCTGACATCTGCGACCTCAGCCAGGCCATCAGAGGCCACATCAGCAGTGGGGAGCTGTGTCAGGAGCACATACCCTTGATGTGAAAATGACACTTCACCTCTGAGATTTTGCTGCATAAAAATCTGTAACCCTAGCTGAGCCATGGGGACATCAGATGCATTCTGATAGAAGGATAGCCTGTCTACAAAATACCTGATCAATATACCCCAAATCTGACAAGCTCATCAAAAACAGGGAGAATTGAGGAACAGTTTCAGCCAAGAGGCACCTAAAGAGACCTGGCAATTAAATACAAAGTGTCATCCTAAATCGGGTCCTGGAACAAAAAAAAGGGACATTAGGTAAAATCTCAGGAAATCCAGAAATGTATGAGCCTGAGTTAATAATAATTAATAATAATAATAATGTGTCAGTAACAGTTTATTAGTTGTGACAAATGTGTCTATTTGTCATCATAAGATGTTAATTAACAGGAATCGGAGTATTGTCCTTACAGGAACTCTCTGTACTATTTTTGCCACTTTTCTGTAAGCCCAAAACTATTCTAAAGTCAGAAGTTTATTTACTTTAAATTTTTTTTTTTAATGTTTATTTTATGTTTGAGAGACAAGGAGAGACAGAGCATGAGTGGGGCAGGGGCAGAGAGAGGGAGACATAGAATCCAAAGCATGCTCCAGGTTCTGAGCTGTCAGTACAGATGCCCAACCGACTGAGCCACCCAGGTGCCCCATTTACTTATTTTAAATGTTTATTTTGAGAGGAAGAGAGACTGTGCAAGGGGGAGAGGGGCAGAGGGAGCGAGAGAGAATCTTAAGCAGTCTCTACCCTGTCAGTGCAGAGCCCAACATGGGGCTCAATCTCACAAACCATGAGATCATGACCTGGACTGAAATCAAAAGTTAGGCACTTAACTGAGTAAGCTACTCAAATGTCCATAAAAGTTTATTTAAAAAAAAAAAATAGCCACAGAAATAGATGAGATCTCACCTAGTCACAGTAGATAAAGGGAGCAGAGAAAAGCCCTTCTGTCTGATCCTGAAGCAACTGCAGTATTTCGAGGTCAGGTTCAGGAAGAAAACCTGGGAAAGGAGATTGGGAAGTGGCTACCATGGGAGTAGAAGGGAAAATTGGAATACAATCTCACTGAAGTTAAGACAGAGCCTTTCAACAAGAGGAGAGTGGTCAGCTTCGTCAAATGTTCTCCAAGGTCAAGTAAAATGAAGAGTGGAGAATGGTTATTGCAGCTGGCAGAACAGAGACACTGTTGGCATTGCAAGAGCGGTCCTGATGGAGGGATGGAGACAGAGCCACATTAGGGAGATTTAAAGAGGAAATACCATCTGTATTTTCTGCATTTTGCAAAAACCATGTTTTTATGTGTGACTTGTAAAGCTAAAAATCTTAAAATTATAATTTGAAGTTATCTTAAAAGGAAGAAAAGGTATATCTTCCTTTAGTTCGGTTCTACATCTTTTTTTTTCATTAACAAAAAGATACTAAAGAGAATTTGCAGACAATCAGAAGGGTATAGGCTGAAAGAAAATCATCCAGAATTCCTCTATCCAAAGGTGGAGTTAATATATTTTAGCATTTCCAGGTGCACCCTTTCCCTACCCGCTCTTACAATGTTCCTTTAGAGAGGTGGTTTATATATTGTGCACTTGCCTCATTTTGCTAGGTGGTTTTGGTCACGAACTGCTTTTAAATAATTATCTTTTAATTTTGCAGCATTGAGCTTTTGAACAGTGAAATAAGTCTTAACATTTTTACTTTAGTTAATGTGTTTCTTTATGAGAGCAAGAGAAATTTATCATAGCAATAACTTCAAAAAGTTATTGTATTTGATTTAGTAGGCTGGTGTTTGGGGGTTGGTGTTTTCAACCTACGTATTTTTGGATTCTCATCCTGTATTCTTTGTTTTGTTTTGTTTTAGTTTTGTTTTTAATTTTTTAATTGTGCAGGCATGGGAGGGCAGAGAGAAAGAAAATCCCAGGCAAGCTCCATGCTTAGCATGGAGCCTGACTTGGGGCTCAGTCACATGACCCTGGGATCATGATCTGAGG